ACCTGAGGCTATTTTATGAAGTAACTAAAATGTTCTGAACTTTTACTAATAACATCTCAAATAATTGTTTTGTATACAGTTGACCTTTGAACAGCACAGGTTTGAACCACACTTATACGCATTTTTTTGCAATAGTAAATACTATAGTAATGCACTATCCAAGATTGGTTGAATCTACAGATTTTCGACTATGCCTGGAGTCAGTGGCCCTAACACCCACCCCCCGAATTGTTCAAGGTTCGACTATAGTTATTTACCAACTTGTAGGAGCCGATGTGTAGAAGAAAGTTTTTCCTTAAGACATTTTTAAAGCAAATTTTTGCCTGTTTTTTAATTTTGCTAGATTTTGCTTGAATAGTATGATAGATATTATTAATGTAGTTATCGACTATAACTGAATTAAAGAAGACAAATACTTTGTCATTTTGAAAAATGAGCTTCATTTTCTTCTAGTCTAATGGATGGGATCCCAATGACATGTTTCGATATAATGAAGAAAATTATGGTGTAGTGTCTACATATGATAGCAGTCTATCTTCATATACGTAAGTTTTAAAAGTTTGCTTTTGTTTTAATACATATTTGCCTTTGATTTTCATCAACCTAAATTACGATGTTGAATAAATGTTTCTGTTGGATTTTAAGTTAAACGATTATGTGAAAGAATTATCCTTTTACTACCTACACTGATAAATTCCCATTAAAACAGGGATTAAATATGGTTTACTTATACCCTAATTTTTTGCTCTAAATAAATTTTGTTTCATTTTTACACTGTAAAAACTCTAAATTGGTAAGTGCAGAGGTTATGGGGGAATAGTCAATTTAACCAGTTTTGGAAATGTTATATTCCTCTAGGGAAAAGGTAACAAGAAAAATCAAGTTTTGATTTATAAATAAATAGATGACTGTAGCTCTCTTACAGTTTTACCAGCATTTTAAACTCTGAACTCTCTTAATAGTTGATTGTGACAGATATGTAAACTATGACTTAAAAATAGTCACTTTGCTTTTTCTTTTCTTCATGTTTCAGGGTGCCCTTAGAAAGGGATAACTCAGAAGAATTTTTAAAACGAGAAGCAAGGGCAAACCAGTTAGCAGAAGAAATTGAATCAAGTGCCCAGTATAAAGCCCGGGTGGCCCTGGAAAATGATGATAGGAGCGAAGAAGAAAAATACACAGCAGTTCAGAGAAATTCCAGTGAACGTGAGGGCCACAACATAAACACTAGGTATTTAAAGGAAATCATGATGCAGTATTTTGGATACACAACTCAAGGTCTGTGTGAGAAGGTGTATTATTATTATTATATTTCATCTTCCTTTAATCTAGCTTAGGTAGAGAATGCAAATGGAGATGGTTTCAGGTTCTGTTAGAGAAAAGATTACAGTAATCTTGGAAAGTATTTTTTGAGCATCACCTCTGTGGAGCCAAGTGTTGGATATACAGTGATGAGCATTTCGAGGTCTGGAAGAGCTTGTTAAAGAATAATGAACAGGTTGCGGGGGGAGTACATATAATTACAGTTCATTATGATTTCCTAGATTAGAGGGGTGGTCAGAGTACTAGAATCATGCAAGTGAGGAGAACTAGCATAACTTCGTGGGGTGAGAGAATGTCTAACAGAGGAGGTGATGTTTTGTGATAGGATAGTAGATCTGTCTGCCACTCAAAGAGACATAAAACAGAGGAGTTCCTTGTATGGTGAAAGACAGGTGAAAGAACTTGTGCAGTTCAGGGAAAACCTAGTTGTTTCATATGTCTGGAATACACGGTGTATGTTGAGGTTACAGTGGTAACAGCTGGTGATAGGAAGCTGAGGTAGTGAAACTCTTTCTGTGTCATGTTAAAAAGCACCCTGTAGATAGGGGATGGCATGAACCAACTATGGGACATTGAGAACTGGCTGAGACATAGAGATCAGTTATTGTATTGAAATAGTTCAAGTGTGAGAACTTGGTAACCAATGAGACCAGAACCAGTGATAGAAAGGTTAGAAAAACCAGGCATGACCCTGAGTTTTATTTGATAACCAAGCAGATTGGTGGTTGTACTGGTAATGGCGGTAGAAAACATGGAGCAATCTTGAGGGGAGATAGAGTGAGTCCATTTGTGCAATTTACTGCATTTGAGGGGCTCACAGGTCTTCTATGCATTTATTCATAAACATGTTGAGAAACACCTGCTACATACCTGGTAGAATAAGATACACATTCTGTCTTCAAGGCACTCACAGCTTAGGAGTCGTGATTTGAATTAAAGTGTTCAGGGAGAGATGTTGAGACTGTGAGACTGAGTGTGGATTTGGGGGGTTGATGTTGAAGCCATGGAAAACTAATGAACAGCCACCAAGAGAAGAGATCACAGAGAAAACAAAGTAGAGAAAACCAAGGAAGAACAGTTTCAAGAAGACAGATGTTGATTGATAGAAACAGCCATAAAGAGGCCAAGTGGATAAGAATGAATACACATCTGTTACATTTTGTCCTTAGCAGGATTATCTGAGGGAAAGGAAAGGCCAGAGGCTAGAGCTTAGAGTAAGATGGAAGAATAGGGGTGTCTGGAAGTGGGGCCATTTGGTTTTAAGTGTTTAACCTTTTAGTAACAAGCATTCCCTTCTGCCTAAATTACTTTTAGATATGTTTCATTGGCCTGGTATCTATTAGGATAAAATGATTTAAAGGATCTCTCATTTTCAGGGAAAATAAATATATTCCTCCTGGACAAAGAAATAGAGAAGTCATATCCTGGGGAAGTGGACGACAGAATTCACCGCGTATGGGCCAGCCTGGATCGGGCTCCATGCCATCAAGATCCACCTCTCACACTTCAGATTTCAACCCAAATTCTGGTTCAGACCAAAGAGTAGTTAATGGAGGCAAGTATTTTGACCAAATTTGTCAATGTCATTGATCAAATACATAGTTTTCTGAATATTTACAGTTTTACATCATTGATAAGAACATACATACCTTTAATGATTTCCTGTGGAGTAGTTTTCACTTAATTTAAATTTGCCTTTGTGGATATCAAATTAGTAAAACTAGTAAAAATTAGTATGTTATTGGCATATACAGCATTTAGCATGATGAAATACTCATGTATTAAGATAAAGTGCTAAATGTAACCAAAGACATTCACTTGGCAAAAAAAAACACTCCACATATGTGAAGAAATTGGAAACTTTGGGTAGGTTCTCAATTTTAAAAATACTGGATGTTAAAATTATTTAGATATAGTTTACATGGAAAATCCCAATCTCTGTGAAACACTCAGTGGTTAATATAGATTCATTTTTATGAACTGTTTGTTTATATATTTATATTCTGCTTACTTCAAGAAAGGATTTGATGTTACTTGCAATACAAGACACAATCAAGAGTCATGTGAAGATGGTGAAGAAAAAAAGTGCTTAAAAAAATAGAAACAACTCTTAGTGTAAGGGTGAATATTGTAGTTTAGCTTAAGTAAAATACAGAAACTTGAGTCTTTAGTAGGAAGATATTTTTTTCTATTCTTCCTCTGTATCTAGGTTAAATATAGCTCATGGGTCATGGATCTCTCATACAAGTCAGGGATATTGGACACAGCAGTGCCATAGACTGTATGGAACCATGGTAATTAATAATACTGATGGGGGACTTCCCTGGCAGTCCAGCGGTTAAGACTTGTGCTCCACTATTTACAATATAGCCAGGACATGGAAGCAACGTAAGTGTCCATCGACAGATGAATGGAAAAAGAAGATGTGGCACATATATACAACGGAATATTACTCAGCCATAAAAAGAAACAAAATTGAGTTATTTGTAGTGAGGTGGATGGACCTAGAGTCTGTCATACAGAGTGAAGTAAGTCAGAAAGAGAAGAACAAATACCGTGTGCTAACACATATATATGGAATCTAAAAAAAAAAAAAAAGGTTCTAACGAACCTAGGGGCAGGACAGGAATAAAGACGCATACGTAGAGAATGGATTTGAGGACATGGAGAGGGGGAAGGGTAAACTGGGACGAAATGAGAGTGTCATGGACATATATTCACTACCAAATGTAAAATAGATAGCTAGTGGGAAGTAACTGCATCGCACAGGGAGATCAGCTTGGTGCTTTGTGACCACCTAGGGGGGTGGGATAGGGAGGGTGGGAGGGAGACGCAAGAGGAAGGGCATATGGGGATATATGTATTACATATAGCTGAAAAAAAATTAAAAAATGGGAAGCTTTTAAAAATTTACTAGCCTAAAATTAATTTTATCTTATTATTTGAAAGTAGTTATAATGCCGACTCATGGGATTCTATTTTATTACTATTAAAATTGTAATTACTCATGGAAAAAAAAAAGACTCAGTGCTCCAATGCAGGGGACGTGGGTTCAATCCCTGGTTGGGGAACTAAGATCCCACATGCTGTGCAGCACAACCATAATAATAATAATAATAATAATAATAATAATAATAATACTGGTGGTGCGTTAGTTACTAACTCAGGGCTAACAGTGGACATTCAATTTTAGGTATTTAAGTTTGGAAAGTTAGAAAAATAGAGAACACTAAGTTTCCAATTTCATTTGTTTTCATTGAGTCTTTCTCCAGAATTCCTCTCCAATGAACACTCTTGAGTATTTTCTATACATTTGTATTGGGGGTGAAATTTCTTTGCTCACTGAGTAAAGAATTTTAGTTGTTCATGAACAGAATTTTCAAAATAAAAAACCGAAAGGGGCTGGGAAATATATGATACTCAAGTGTGTGGAACCCTATGGAGAGGAGACCTGGATTGTTTCCTAAGATTAAGGTAAGTGATATGTCATGTTACATGTTAGCTGTATTTTGACCTGTGCATATCCTTCAGTGTCGGTTTATTTGGTGATGACTGCTTTGTAGTTGCATTGTTTATTAAGCAGTCTCTTAGATGAATGTTTAACTGCATAAATTATTTAGAAGGTCCCCTTTTTCTAATTTGATAAGATTAAAATATGTGTTTTGAAAAGGCAATGAATATTAACCTGTCACTCCTGTGACTCTAGAAAATAGTAGAAGTAATGTTCTATTTCTACTTAAATGTACCTGCTTAATGAGATTTCAAACTCAACCTTACATTAAAGTATAAACTAGATGAAAACCACAGACAGATATAAGAAACCAGCATTTTTAATGAGATATAATAGCTGATGTGTCAAGCTAAAACTTTTAATAATAATCTTATTCCTGAGTTTTGTGATTTATTGTGTGAAATTATCTGGTGTATGTTATACTCCTTTTAACAATTGATTACCAAGAAACAGTTGCAGAAGCAGAATTAATAGGCAAAGTCTTAACTGTCTTCTTCAGTAGTATGTGTAGATCCTAATTAACCCTTTGGGAACGTGTATTCATTTAAACAGACTTAATTTTAAGGAGGTTAAAGTAAAATGTGAATTTATGTCAGTTAAGTTATGCTAAAACTTATCACAAATCAAATGACTGTCCTCAAAGGGTTAAAATGTGCAAGAAATCATTTTTGTCATTTTACTTTTTTTTCTGTTTACTTTTTTCCCTCATTTTTTTCTTTAGTTTTTATACTTTCCTTCATATCATTTGTTCTGTCAGGTGTTCCCTGGCCATCGCCTTGCCCATCTCCTTCCTCTCGCCCACCTTCTCGCTACCAGTCAGGTCCCAACTCTCTTCCACCTCGGGCAGCCACCCCTACACGGCCGCCCTCCAGGCCCCCCTCGCGGCCATCCAGACCCCCGTCTCACCCCTCTGCTCATGGTTCTCCAGCTCCTGTCTCTACTATGCCTAAACGCATGTCTTCAGAAGGTACAATACCACAATTTGTTCATGTTTTTGTTTGTCTTTGTTTAACTCCTATGTGAGTTTATAATTACAAAATAGTTTCCTCTTCATTATTTAATAACCTATAATTTCTGTGTTTTAACTTTAGTTTATTAAAACTATTTCTATTAACCTTTTGTTCATTAGAGAGAAATTTGATAAATGCTGTGTGAAGCTATGAACTATCCTGAATTGTAAGAATGAGGGTTTTGTCTCTGCCTGGTAATGATGCTGTTTTATAGCCCAGGGCCTTCTCCCTTCCACTTTACAGTGTATACAGTGGTTAATGGTAAACAGTGAACTTTCTTCATCAGTCTTGGACTTTTTGTAGAACCTATCATTTTATAGCTCCTTGGCCAAGGTACTAGTGAATTTGCCTGTTGGCCATAGGCAGGAGTGATGGTTTAGGGGTCCTTTTTGAGAGGGACGTTACATGTAGCTGCCTTTGTGTGTTTACTCTTAGATTACAATACAGAGTTTACATTTGTGTTTGGAGAATTTAAAAAAAATAGTTTTGTACTATTTCATAGTGAAAGTCTTTAATATGGAAGAAGTTCTTGATCTAAGATAAAATTTTTATCTTAGAAAGCTATGTATGAATCTTTAGGGTTTTATTTATTTATTTCCCTTGTCAGTAAAAAAGAATAAAATACTGTAGTTCTCATTCATTGGTGCTAAATCCACCATTGCTACATATCAGATACATGGATGTGTTGTAGAAAGGTCACATTTTAATCTAAATGTCGTGCATAAGTAAAAAACCTTTTTTCTGAATGATAATGACCTTTAACATTATTTCAGAGTACTTGATATGTTAAAATTTTAATCTGATTTGTTCATTAAAATTACAGTTGATATTGCTTATGCTGAGACTAACACAGTTTTCTGGTATAAAATGCTTCCCTGGAGAAAACTAGTTGGCTGTTTTTTAATAAATTGTTGTCATCCAGGCAGGGAGGTCATGTGATCTTGACTAAAGCAGCTAACCTTGTTAGCTGTTGAACAGCATGTTGAAAGCATGTTGAACAGCATGATTTTCAAGGTGACTTCCTTACTCAGAAGTGCCTGTGATGGTGGCCTCTAAATGAAAAGTTACATTCTGTTGACATATTTGTTGTGGTCTATTGTTTGCATAAGTGATGTTCATGAGAATATGTTAGATAAAATAGAACTCATTAGTGAGTGTGAGCGTGTTCACGACAGTTAGATGTTAAGGACTCACACAAAAGTACACCTGCATATTCAGGGATGCTGTGTTATTCAGTTTTTCTTTTTAAATAATTTGAATTAAAATATGTTTTCTAGTCATGTAGTTAGGTGATACTGAAGCATTTTTAAAATGTGAACTTCAAAATAAAACTATTAAATATAGTGGTTTTCTGTGCTTAACATGGAGACTGTATTTTGTTTCTGAAAGTATTTTACATATTGCCAAAGACTGAATTTTTTTAAGTTAGAGTTTGATTTCATTGAGCTATGCCAGCCGTCTTTCTTGGTCTTTTTCTGTAAAGGGACGTAAAAATTATGTATAAATATGCAAATACCCAGTTCTTAACTCATTCTTTAATCTAAATTGTATCTCCAGTTGAAAATTATATAACATTAACATTCTTTGTAAGATCGTGCCCATGATTGAATTCCTACTCAGGGCACAAATTAATCTGACATTCTAAAGAGTGGCAAGGGACTTCCCTGGCGGTCCAGTGGTTAAGACTCCACACGTCCACTGCAGGGGCCATGGGTTCAATCCCTGGTCAGGGAACTAAGATTCTGTATGCCGCGTGGCGCAGCCAAAGCAATAAAATAAAAAATGAAGAGTTTGGCAAGGTAAGGGTAAGGGGCCTTGGCTTTGACATTAAGAATGAGTTTTGCCAGGTGTTATCACTGTCAGGTTTCTATGGTAAGAGTCATTGTGTCCACTGTTTTCGCCTGACAGTTTTGTTTGAATGCACAGTAGACTTCTTTATAAATAGAAATTGCTAATGGGGTGACAAAATTGATGGATGTGGAATTTTGACAATTTGTATAGTGCAAATTTCTTGCCCAAATGTCAGTTATTCTAGTCTGTAAGTCATGCCTTAACGGTAGAATTTTCAGTTCACAGCCTGTTAAGTATGAGACACTTCCTACAGTTGAGGACTGTTTTAAGACATGGGTCGTGAAATTGTTCACCATGGCAGAAGAGGTAGATAAATTAAGGTTTTGGAGAAATTTAAGAAGGAAAATGTGCATCTTTTTACTAGTACAAAGACATATCGCGGTCAATAGTTTGTTGTTTAAAATTTTTTTCCCCGAATTTTAGAGGTAATATATTGTAGAAAATTTGAGGGAAAAAACTAAAAGTATGTGTTAAAATAAAAATTATTGCATCATGTAGCTATAACTCTATTAACATTTTATTATATTTATTTGTATATGCCTACAAATAATGGGTATAGATTAAAGAAATTGCTAAGATCTTTGAAGAGTTATGACATCTTATTGTTAGATTTCTTACCACCAACTGCATCCCTCCCTTTCTTTAAAAATAAAGGGAAATAAAATAAAATTTATTTGTAAGATTTTATGGCATTCCACAAAATAATTCTGAAAGAGTATGGCCAAAAATATATGTGGTGTTTGTTTCCTTTTTCTTAACCAAGAAGAAATGAGAGAGGGAATGTGTGGGGGGTGTGTGTGTGTGTGAGAGAGAGAGAGAGAGAGAGAGAGAGAGAGAGAATGGTCTATGTGTATTTAGCAAAAAACTAGTACTGATGGACATTGTGGCATTCATGTGATGTTCACTGTTTCTTTCTTAGGGCCTCCAAGGATGTCCCCAAAGGCCCAGCGACACCCTCGAAATCACAGAGTTTCTGCTGGGAGGGGTTCCATTTCCAGTGGCCTAGAGTTTGTATCCCACACCCCACCAAGTGAAGCGACTGCTCCTCCAGCAGCAAGGACCAGTCCCGCAGGGGGCACATGGTCATCAGTGGTCAGCGGGGGTAGGTAACACTTGGTTTGGAGCATAATGACAAAGTTCATTTTGTTATTCTACTAGATGTAAAAAGGGCTGAGCTTGAGCTATGTTTGAGGAACTCTAAGTATATATATGAAAAATAGTGGAGTAACTAGGAATTGGGAAAACTATATTTTTTTTCTGGGCTCTACCACTTACCATATGTTAGGGCAAATCATGTGATCATTCTGAATTTCAGTTTTCTCAGTGAGTAATCTTTAGCTAATCTACTCTATGGTCTTGTGATGAAATTCATGTGGGGTTCATAAATAAGAATATACTTTATAGTTTTATAAAGTACCACTCAAATGGAAGGCAAATATAGTACATAACATTTGGAGGGATCATGTTTTGTGTCTTCTTAGCAACTTTGTTCATTGATTCATTCCACAAACATTTATTTTGGGCTTACAGTGCTGTGTTCCCCCCCCCCCCATTCATTCACTCCATACATTTTTATTGACATCCTACTTTGTGCCAGGCAGTATTCTGGGCCCAGGTCCTTGTGTTTCCTAGCACCAATATACGGCACTAATTCCTGACCATATTTCCCTTTTAAGGAATAACAAACATGGGGGACCAAGTTTTATCTGTGATTAGTCTGAAGAATATGCTGATGGAAGCTATAAAAGTGTGAAAAATGTACTTTGACAGGATCTTACAATTAAGACTGCTTTGGGGGCTTCCCTGGTGGGCCTCTCACTGTTGTGGCCTTTCCCATTGCGGAGCACAGGCTCTGAGCCTGCGGCTCACTGGCCATGGCTCATGGGCCCAGCTGCTCCGTGGCATGTAAGATCTTCCCAGACCAGGACACGAACCCGTGTCCCCTGCATCAGCAGGTGGACTCTCAACCACAGCCACCACCTATTTTAAAGAAACAGTCTCACTTTTTAGTAGAGAGTGTTATCTTTATCCTAAAAAGTAGCATTTTTCCTGCCTTAGAAATCCAGTTTCTAAATTCATTTAAAATACTTCGTTTTAGAATTAATATAGTTAGTTAGGAGGGAAAACTACTGTTGGACATAGGTATTAGTAATTGCTTTCATTCTTCAGATATTTGTATTGTCCATCATCACTGCTATTCCTGAGACTTTGGAAAAGAAAACAGGGTGATGGGATAAAAAGTAATTGGGGAGGAGGTCAGATAGAACTATTTTACCTAGATCTTCAGAAAAGCCTTTTTGAAGAAGTGACATTGAACTGAGAATATAATGGGTAACTTTTCTCTTTCTTGTAGTTCCAAGATTATCCCCTAAAACTCACAGACCCAGGTCTCCCAGACAGAATAGTATCGGAAATACTCCTAGTGGGCCAGTTCTTGCTTCTCCCCAAGCTGGTATTATTCCAGCTGAAGCTGTTGCTATGCCTGTACCAGCTGCGTCTCCTACACCTGCCAGTCCTGCATCCAACAGAGCTGTAACCCCATCTCTTGAGGGTATGTAAGAAAGGGCTTCCAGATCCACAATGTCATTTGTGAAGTTGAGTGTTAGAGGTTTAAAAGTTTATGAAAAATGGCTGTGTTGTTTTATTCATAAGTATGTATCAATATTTGAGGGTACATTTAAAATTTTATACAAATGAAGTTAGTTGTTTAAGTAATGCTACTAATTTCATATGTTATTCTTGAATGTGTGTTGTTAAGATAGTTTACATTCCTGGGTAGTAAATGTCAATATAAATAAAATTATTAGTGTTTCATATGTCTGCAAAGTTGGAAAGCCTCTGTTTAAATGTTCTTTTCCAAAAACATGGGATCAAAATTGTTGAATATTTTCCCCTTTAGCTCCTATCTAACTTTGAGTTTTTATAAAATATTATTTTCTAGCTAAAGATTCCAGGCTTCAAGATCAGAGGCAGACCTCTTCTGCAGGGAATAAAGAAAATATGAAGCCCAATGAGACATCACCTAGCTTCTCAAAAGCTGAAAGTAAAGGTTAGAGCTTTCAAAAGTCTTTGGGTATAACTGTAGAAATAGGAAGGAATATGTCTTACTCTCATGCCCAATACAGAGTATTTTTGGTCAGTACTTTTTCTTAGGATTGTGCATATTTAAATGCATAATTTAACATGTCAAAATCTATAATTAACATATTGAAATTTTTATTATTTTTTGATAATAGAGTTTATTTTCATTTCTAACATCCCATCCTAAAAGAATTTTAAGTTAAAGATTAGAAATAAATCTGGATCTAACACTTCTTAATTTTACAGGTATATCACCAATTGTTTCTGAACATAGAAAACAGATCGATGATTTAAAGAAATTTAAGAATGACTTTAGGGTAAGTATCGTATTGACTGATGAATTAGAATTAAAAAAAAATTTTTTAAGCATTACTAAAGATTCTTATATCATCCATTTACAAAAATGCATTATATATACACCCAGAAAAATCAAATCATGTGTATAGAAAGCTAAACATCTTTTTTTTTTCCTTTTTAATTTATTTATTTTTTGGCTGCGTTGGGTCTTCGTTGCTGCACGTGGGCTTTCTCTAATTGCTGGGAGCAGGGACTCCTCTTCATTGAGGTGCGCGGGCTTCTCTCATTGCGGTGGCTTCTCTTGTTGCAGAGCACAGGCTCTAGGTGCGTGGTCTTCAGTAGTTGTGGCACGCGGGCTCAGTAGTTGTGGCTCGTGGTCTCTATAGCGCAGGCTCAGTGTTGTGGCGCACGGGCTTAGTTGCTCTGTGCCATGTGAGATCTTCCTGCGAACCCGTGTCCCCTGCATTGGCAGGCAGATTCCCAACCACTGTGCCACCAGGGAAGTCCCTAAACATTCTTAAAGTTGTCTTTGCGTATTCTTAAAGTTGTCTTTACGTATGCTTTAAGTGAAGTAACTAAAATCATGAGATTTGGTAAGAACAATACAGATATTAAATGAAAGAGAATGTAATTCTGACATTGGAAGTCACCATAACGTAAGTTATTTGATATTCATTTGACTACTTTATTCAGTGACAGTAGAGCAAGGCCAAGGCATGGCTTAGCTGATGTGGCATGTGGAAGATGTACTGGACCCTGGTTTTACAAAAGAGTTGCAGATTTACACTTCATGCACAAATGTATTGTGGTAGACATCCTTCTATAATATCATTTCTCTCCCTTAAGACTTGCTGGATGTAGTCTGATGTCTCCTGGATGACTGTTTCGTTCTTTTGCACAATATTTACTGTTAACATATTGTGCATATCAAGGTATATTTTGAGACCAAATCAAGAAATCATCCTGAAACTTAGCTGCTTAATGGGGGAAAATCTGATTATCAGCCTTTGAAAGAAGACTTAAAAGATGAATGGATCAAAAGCAAAAAGCAGCCTTTTCCTAGCCTGTGTTCTAGCTTCCTAAAAATTAATAAGTTTTTTCCAGTAGTTTCATTCCTGACTTTTTGGCACCGTTTAAAATATTAAATATTATTTCATACTTTAGCACATTTATCTATTCAGCTTTAATGCTATTAGCAGTTGTAAATTTAATTTTTAATTTTTTAAGCTATAGTTAGTACATGGACACGATACAAAGAATGCCCAGTGACTGAATGTCCAGATGCCCACTACCAGCTTAATACATCAAGCACTCCAGCACAGTTAAAGTCTCCTGTGTACTTGCCCACCTCAGCTGCATCCTCCTGCCAGAGCGAAGGGTATCTTTCCTTGCAGTTCTTTATACTGCAGATGAAAAGATCCCTAAGCAACAGGTGGTATTATTTTGCATAATCTTCAGTTTGATATAAATGTCATGTTCTTGCCCATGCTTTCATTTCCTCAGCATTATTTTTTACAGTCATTCATTCCCTTCTTATAGTACACTTGCATGAATTTATTATGTTATGAAGAAAAGAAATTTTTTTACTTTGAAGCATATTAGAGAGTATGTTTTTTGTAACAGTTTTATTGAGGTATAATTTGCATATCATACAATTTAGCCGTTTAAAGTGTACAATTTAGCAGTGTTTAGTATATTCACAGGGTTATACAGTCATCACATAAACCCTTAGCAGTCACTGCTTATTAGCTTTCAAACACTCCTCCCCCCAACTCCCATCCTAAACAGCCATTAATCTGCTTTTTGTCTCCATGGATTGCCTGTTCTGGACATTTCATATGAATGGAACCATACAATAAATGGCCTTTTGTGAGTGGCTTTTTTTCACTTACCATCATGTTTTCAGGATTCATCCATGTTGTAGCCTGTGTCAGTACTTCATTCCTTTTTATGGATGAATAATATTCCACTGTATGGATGGACCATATTTTATTTATCCATTTATCATCAGTTGATGCCTCCAGGTTCCCACTTTTTTTTTTTTTTTTTTTTTTTTTTTTCCTTGCGTTATGCGGGCCTCTCACTGTTGTGCCTCTCCCATTTGCGGAGCACAGGCTCCGGACGCGCAGGCTCAGTGGCCATGGCTCACGGGCCCAGCCGCTCCGCGGCATGTGGGATCTTCCCGAAACAGGGCACGAACCCGCGTCTCCTGCATCGGCAGGCGGACTCTCAAGCACTGCGCCACCAGGGAAGCCCCAGGTTCCCACTTTTTGATTGTTATGAATAATGCTTCTATGAATATTAGTATACAGTTTTGTGTGGACATACGTTTTCATTTCTCTTGGGTATATACCTAAGAGTGGAATTTCTGGTTCATCTGGTAACTCTATCCTTAACCTTTTGAGGAAAACTTCTGGACTGTTTGCCAAAGCAGCTATGCTATTTCACATTCCCATCAGCAGTATGGGAGGGTTTCCGCTTCTCCACATCCTTACCAGCACTTGTTACTGTTTGTTTTTTTGATTGTAGTCTTCCTTGTGGTATGTTGTGGTTTTGACTTGCATGTCTCTGGTGGCCGATGATGTTGAGCATCCTTTTATATGTTGATTGCCCATTTGTTTTTTGTTTGTTTGTTTTTATCTTTCTGCACATTTTAGTGAAGTAATTCATAACTACTGATTTTATTAGGAGATATATGTTGATGAAAGTATCCCGAAACCAGCACTCATGAAGATCATTGCCTGCTATTTTTCACAAGAAGTTTCAGCCTTATACATAAGATGTTTACATATAACAGAACTGACATTACCACAATATACATCAGTATTTATAGTCACAATATGGACATAAATGTCAACATCTATCAAATAATGATAATTAGATATCTATGTGAATGTCATTTTCCTTGTATTTCCTTCTATTATTAGACATACTAAATAATCAACTAATTATAAAGTAATGGGACAGGCAAAAAATACTTCTAGTTATAAATTAAGGAAAATACAGTCATGATAATTCATTGCCCATTTGTATGTCTTCTTTGGAGAAATGTTTATCCAGATCTTCGCCCATTTTAAAAATTAAGTTGTCTTTTTATTGAGTTGTAAGAGTTCTGTATATATTCTATGTACAAGTCTTGCATCAAATGTGTGGCTTGCAATTTTTTCCTCCCATTCTGTGGGTTGTCCACTTTCTTGATGTTGACAACTAAAGCACAAAATTTTTTAATTTTGATGAAGTCTAGTGTATCTGTTTTTTCTTCTGTCCCTTGTGCTTTTGGTGTCATATCTAAGAAACCATTGCCTAATCCATACTCATAAAGATTCAAAGATTCACTCTTATTTTCTTCTCAGAGTTTCAATTAAGGCTGTGATCTATTTTGAGTAATTTTTTTTAAAATTTCAGTGTAGTTGATTTACAATGTTGTGTTAGATTCAGGTGTATAGCAGAGTGATTCAGTTAACACATATGTGTGTGTGTATATATATATTCTTTTTCAGATTCTTTTCCATTATAAGTTATTACAGGATACTGAATATAGTTCCATGTGCTATACAGTAGGTCCATGTTGTTTTTCTATTTTATATATAGTGTGTATCTGTTAATCCCAAACTCCTAGTATATTCCCCCGCTCCTTCCCCTTTGGTAACCATAAGTTTTCTGTGTTTGTGAGTCTGTTTCTGTTTTGTTCATTTGTATCATTTTTTTAGATTCCACATGTAAGTGATGTCATATATTTGTCTCTGACTTACTTCACTTAGTATGATAATCTCTAGGTCCATCCATGTTGCTGCAAATGGCATTATTTCGTTCTTTTTTATGGCTGAGTGTGTGTGTGTGTGTGTGTGTGTGTGTGTGTGTATACATACACACCACACCACATCTTCTTTATCCATTCATCTGTCGATGGACACTTAGATTGTTTCCATGTTGTGGCTGTTGTAAATAGTGCTGCTGTGAACGTCGGGGTTGCACGTATCTTTTCAAATTAGAGTTTTGTCTTTTCCAGATATATGCCCAGGAGTGGGATTGCTGGATCATGTGGTAGCTCTAGTTTTAGTTTTTTAAGGAACCTCCATACTGTTGTTCTTAGTGGCTGCACCAATTTATATTTTGAGTAATTTTATTATTTTTTTAAAAAATAAATTTATTTATATTTTTTGGGGCTACATTGGATCTTCGTTGCTGCGTGCAGGGTTTCTCTAGTTGGGGCGAGCAGGGGCTGCCCTTCATTGCGGTGCGCAGGCTTCTCATTGTGGTGGCTTCTCATTGTGGTGGCTTCTCTTGATGCAGAGCACAGGCTCTAGGCACGCGGGCTTCAGTAGTTGTGGTGCACGGGCTCAGTCGTTGTGGTGCAGGGGCATAGTTGCTCCACGGCATGTGGGATCTTCCCGGACCAGAACTTGAACCCCCTGCATTGCAGGCGGATTCTTAACCACTGCACCACCAGGGAAGGTTTAAATCTTGCCCTCTGTACAACATTGAGGCATGTTGTCTACATCTCCCAAGCCAAAATGGGATAATTGTAGAAACTACTTCATCGTGTTCTTCTGAAAATTAATGAGATACTGCCTGTAAAGTGTTTAATATAGTTCTTGACATATAGTATATACTCAATAAATATTAATTTTTATTGCCAAAATATAGATGAACCAAAGTTGTACCCGCAATCACAGGTTTCTTTTTCTCTGAGTCACATAAGAATTTTAGTTTTCCCATAAAAATGTCCATTCTACCCAAAGCAATCTATGGATTCAGTGCAATCCTATCAAAATTCCAATGGATTTTTTTTTTTTTTTTTTTTTTTTGTGGATATGTGTCC